TATATATATATATATATATATATATATATATATATATATATATATATATATATATATATATATATATATATATGTCGTACCTAATAGCCAGAACGCACTTCTCAGCCTACTATTCAAGGCCCGATTTGCCTAATAAGCCAAGTTTTCATGAATTAATGTTTTTTCGTCTACCTAACCTACCTAACCTAACCTAACCTAGCTTTTTTTGGCTACCTAACCTAACCTTACCTATAAATATAGGTTAGGTTAGGTTAGGTAGGGTTGGTTAGGTTCGGTCATATATCTACGTTAATTTTAACTCCAATAAAAAAAAATTGACCTCATACATAGAGAAAAGGGTTGCTTTATCATTTCATAAGAAAAAAATTATAGTAAATATATTAATTCAGGAAAACTTGGCTTATTAGGCAAATCGGGCCTTGAATAGTAGGCTGAGAAGTGAGTTCTGGCTACTAGGTACGACATATATATATATGTCGTACCTAGTAGCCAGAACGCACTTCTCAGCCTACTATGCAAGGCCCGAATTGCCTACTAAGCAAAGTTTTCCTTAATTAATATATTTTCTCTAATTTTTTTCTTATGAAAATGATAAAGCTACCCATTTCATTATGTATGAGGTCATTTTTTTTTATTGAAGTTAAAATTAACGTAGATATATGACCGAACCTAACCAACCCTACCTAACCTAACCTAACCTATCTTTAAAGGTTAGGTTATGTTAGGTAGCAGAAAAAGTTAGGTTAGGTAGTCGAAAAAACATTAATTCATGAAAACTTGGCTTATTAGGCAAGTTGGGCCTTGCATAGTAGGCTCAGAAGTGCGTTCTGGCTACTAGGTACGACATATATATATATATATATATATATATATATATTATATATATATATATATATATATATATATATATATATATATATATATATATATATATATATATATATATATATATATATATATATATATATATATATATATATATATATATATATATATATATATATATATATATATATATGTCGTACCTAGTAGCCAGAACTCACTTCTCAGCCTACTATGCAAGGCCAAATTTGCCTAGTAAGCCAAGTTTTCATGAATTAATTGTTTTTCGACTACCTAACCTACCTAACCTAACCTAACCTAACTTTTTCGGCTACCTAACCAAACCTAACCTATAAAGATAGGTTAGGTTAGGTTAGGTAGGGTTGGTTAGGTTCGGTCATATATCTACGTTAATTTTAACTCCAATAAAAAAAATTGACCTCATACATAATGAAATGGGTAGCTTTATCATTTCATAAGAAAAAATTAGAAAAAATATATTAATTCAGGAAAACTTGGCTTATTAGGCAAATCGGGCCTTGAATAGTAGGCCAAAAAGTGAGTTCTGGCTACTAGGTACGACATATATATATATATATATATATATATATATATATATATATATATATATATATATGTCGTACCTAGTAGCCAGAACGCACTTCTCAGCCTACTATGCAAGGCCCGATTTGCCTAATAAGCCAAGTTTTCCTGAATTAATATATTTTCTCTAATTTTTTTCTTATGAAATGATAAAGCTACCCATTTCATTATGTATGAGGTAAATTTTTTTTTATTGGAGTTATAATTAACGTAGATATATGACCGAACCTAACCAACCCTACCTAATCTAACCTAACCTATCTTTATAGGTTAGGTTAGGTTAGGTAGCCGAAAAAGTTAGGTAAGGTTAGGTTAGGTAGGTTAGGTAGTCGAAAAAAAATTAATTCATGAAAACTTGGCTTCTTAGGCAAATCGGGCCTTGCATAGTATGCTGAGAAGTGCATTCTGGCTACTTGGTACGACATATATATATATATATATATATATATATATATATATATATATATATATATATATATATATATATATATGTCGTACCTAATAGCCAGAACGCACTTCTCAGCCTACTATTCAAGGCCCGATTTGCCTAATAAGCCAAGTTTTCATGAATTAATGTTTTTTCGTCTACCTAACCTACCTAACCTAACCTAACCTAGCTTTTTTTGGCTACCTAACCTAACCTTACCTATAAATATAGGTTAGGTTAGGTTAGGTAGGGTTGGTTAGGTTCGGTCATATATCTACGTTAATTTTAACTCCAATAAAAAAAAATTGACCTCATACATAGAGAAAAGGGTTGCTCTATCATTTCATAAGAAAAAAATTATGGTAAATATATTAATTCAGGAAAACTTGGCTTATTAGGCAAATCGGGCCTTGAATAGTAGGCTGAGAAGTGAGTTCTGGCTACTAGGTACGACATATATATATATATATATATATATATATATATATATATATATATATATATATATATATATATATATATATATATATATATATGTCGTACCTAGTAGCCGGAACGCACTTCTCGGCCTACTATGCAAGGCCCGATTTGCCTAATAAGCCAAGTTTTCATGAATTATTTATTTTTCGACTACCTTACCTACCTAACCTAACCTAACCTATAAAGATAGGTTAGGTTAGGTTAGGTAGGGTTTGTTAGGTTCGGTCACATATCTACGTTAATTTTAACTCCAATAAAAAAAATTGACCTCATACATAATGAAATGGATAGCTTTATCTTTTCATAAGAAAAAAATTAGATAAAATATATTAATTCAGGAAAACTTGGCTTATTAGGCAAATCGGGCCTTGCATAGTAGGCTGAGAAGTGCGTTCTGGCTACTAGGTACGACATATATATATATATATATATATATATATATATATATATATATATATATATATATATATATATATATATATATATATATATATATATATATATATATATATATATATATATATATATATATATATATATATATATATATATATATTGAAAAATCAATTCTCCAAAATTCATTTTTATTTTTTAGTCTCACGCGACGCTTGAACGCTTTTCGTAATAACGTATTACAATTTCAAAGACTAGTTTACACACACACAACTTATAACCTGAAAAAACTTAACAGAGTTTTTCTAATATTAACGCTAAACAGCTTGTCTTATATACTCGCATTTGGGTGAGGTGATATGTTGAAACAGTTTTTGATGAGGTGAACAAACTTTTGACCAACACAAGACAGAACATGGTTCAAAGGGTATAAATTGGATATGTGAAAGAGAAGAATGGAAGTAACTGCCAAGGGCCTATTGGCCTATACTCCTCTTGATGCTTCTATATTTGTACGGAGTCTTCAAGTGTGTAGAATATAGTTGTGCATTAATTGGCTGTTGATTGCTGGTGTTGACTTTTTGATGTGTAGTGCCTCGCAGATGTCATGCCGCCTACTATCGCTGTATCTATCGATGATTTCTGTGTTGTTTGTTAATACTTCTCTGGTGATGGGCTGGTTGTGGGAAGAGATTATATTTATTATAATCTCATAATAATGAGATTATTATATTACACAGTCTCCGTGGTGTAGTGGTAAGACACTCGCCTGGCGTTCCGCGAGCGCTTTATCATGGGTTCGTATCCTGGCCGGGGAGGATTTACTGGGTGCAAATCCTTAACTGTAGCATCTGTTTAACTCAACAGTAAAATGAGTACTTGGTTATAAAAACGATTCTTCGCGGCGGGGATCGTATTCCAGGGACCTACCCGAAACGCTATGCGTACTAGTGGCTGTACAAGAATGTAACAACTCTTGTATATATCTAAAAAAAAAAAAAAATGTTCCCTAATGGAGCCCTGTTGGTTATGCATTGTAAATCGCCTGGAAAGAGATGTTGTTGCCTTGCCTATATACTGAGTTCTTTGGGACTTACAGTCCCCAAGTGGACATTTGAAGGCATAGACGACGTTGGTCTCTTTTAAGGCGTTCTGCTTTGTGTCTGGAGAGTTTTTCATGAGTAGGTTGGCCGTTTTTTTTAGTTTTATAGTAAATGGTCAATTGTATCTTCTGATTTTTGTCTGTAGGGATAACGTTCCTATTAATAATATCTTTCAGGACCCTTTCCTCCGTTTTATGAGCTGTGGAAAACAAGTTCCAGTAAAATAGTCTAATAGGGGGTACAGGTGTTGTGTTAGTTGACTCTTCAAAGGTTGCATGGCGTTTCACCTTCCTTTTTATGATGTCTTCAACGAAACCATTGGAGAAGCCATTGTTGACTAGGACCTGCCTTACCCTACAGAGTTCTTCATCGACTTGCTTCCATCCTGAGCTGTGGCTGAGAGCACGGTCGACATAAGTGTTGACAACACTTCTCTTGTACCTGTCACTGTTACAGTCACTGTTAGCACTGAGGCACATTCCTATGTTTGTTTCCTTAGTGTAGACTGCAGTGTGGAAACCTCCGCTCCTTTCCGTGACTGTTACATCTAGAAAGGGCAGCTTCCCATCCTTTTCCATCTCGTAAGTGAAACTCAACACAGAATTCTGCTCGAATACCTTCTTTAGCTCCCGCAGACGTCTGACATCAGGTACCTGTGTGAAAATGTCGTCAACATATCTGCAGTATATGGCCGGTTTCAAGTTCATTCCAACTAAGACCTTCTGTTCGATGGTAGAAGGTTCGACCTTCTGTTTGCTTCTGGTCAACTGTTGCAGTCAGCACCGCAAGCCTCTCTGGCATGCCGGCCGAAGGCAGCCCTGCACTCGGCTCACCAAGGACCGGTGACCGTCTTATAAACTCTGCCATCCGGCGTACAGGAAATGCCAACCACTACACTGCTTTGAATCCGTTTCTACACTCAAACTGCTTCCGCTGCCAATACGTTAAAAGAGAACCATTCATTCAATTCTACATAGTTGTCTGGGTACAACATCCCCTCACCCATTACCCAGCACCCCTTCCGTATCCCCCTTTGCCACACCTTTCACGTATCATATCTTCATGTGGACATTACATCTGACCGTAATAATAATCATCATTATATATTCCGAGCAGAATAAATATGACAAAAATGAATTAATACCAATACTTGGAGTTTGCTGTGTCTACAGAACCTGCAGGAACATGTTATGCTGGGTGGCCGGGGCGGTGGTGGCATTGGTTCTGGCCATAAAGTTCGTCTACAGGTTCCAGTCCGGACGATGCTCCTCCCACAGGAAACTGGTGGGCAAGACGGTCATTATCACCGGAGCTTCTGCTGGCATGTAAAACCTATCCACCTTCACTCTGGCATGAAAGGTACGAGAACCATTGTTTTAAATGATCATTTGCATGTTATTTAGTACAAAGTTTGATGTGATTCTGTACCAGGAAATATCTGGTGGTGCATAAACTCTTCCAACTATGCACGTAGAAATGAATGTGTGTTGTGTTTGCTAGTATTCATCATCAGTCCAGCGATGCACTTAATTAGGAATGAATGTGTGGTGTGTTTGCTAGTATACATCATATGCATTATATACTCCCTAATCTAGAGGAGAGAAACTATGACAAGTATGTGCAGCAGCAGTAGTAATGATGACACTTGTTATTATAACTTAGTAGCGGCAACAGAAGCAGCGTGACACTTGTCAGGTTAACGTGTTGATACTTACCAGGCATCGGGAAGGAGACGGCGAGGGACCTGGCCTCACGAGGAGCCCGCGTCATCCTCGCCTGCAGGAACACTGACAAGGCCCAAAAAGTTGCAGGTAAAAATTTGATTTTGTGGATCAAAAAAGTTTGTGTATCAAGCGATTATAATGGAATTCTGAGAGCAATAAATCAGTTGACCCAAACTAAGTTCCATGTTTGTGGAAACCTTTAATTGATATGAATAGTGTAAGGACCTTGAAACATGACGGCTACTGTATGATGCTTGTATGTGTAGTCGTCGTGAACTTATGTCTTGTCACAACTACTATCTTTAATCTCAAGTGGTGTCCATTATCAGAACATCCTTGATGCTACCAACCTTTATACTGTCTTCCCTGATGCTACTTACCTTGATACTACCAACCTTAATGCTACTTACCATGATACTGCCTTCCTTCATGCTATAGTATCCTTCATGCTATAGTATCCTTCATGCTATAGTATCCTTCATGCTATATACTATGACACTACCTACCTTGTGTTGGGATCTAACCTCGGCGTTGTTTTGATCTTTGCGTTCGGGACTTGGAGCTATTTATAATAACCGAGCGATATACTCGTCAGCACACTCTGTGTTGTCTCCTTGGTTTCACATGAATGGAAAGTGGCCTTCGTTCATTCTTTTGATCGATAAGCTATCTTCGGTAATACAATATCAAAATTAGGTATAGATAAGAAATCGGGGGGCACAAAAAAAAATCTTACAATTTAATTAGTCTCTACTAAAAAGTATTTGAACATATAAGCTATTCTATAGTTAGGTAAAGTGAGAATGGATGGTCATGACATGGGGGGGGGGGTATTAATAGGGTTTCCGTGACTACTTGATCGGTGACATGAGTGAAGGGTATAAGTGGATATACGGGTATGAAAGGGGGTATTTGTCAACCATTGGTAAATACCAGTGTGAACATTGTGCTATTTTCTTATTTCTAAGGTATAGACCTTCTGCAGTTTATTTCACAGTGGCAGTTAATGATTGGTTCAACATGGGTGGAAATATATAGAAGATACCGTACGGTTACCCCAAAAAGGCTTTTTGCAATTTCATTCTTATGTTTAATACACAATCTTTTAGCCAGAAAAAATATTTGATAATGGGACTTAATATTAAAATATTGAAAATGGGATTAAATATGAAAAAATGGAAAACAGACATGTTCAGGGAAGATGAAGACGTGCTGCCTGATGATGTCATTGAACGTTAGGGATAGCTGTACCTGTGCACGTCGCCCAGGCAAGTGAATTTAGGGATAACGGAAGGGTGCTGTTTAATCTATTCCCTTCCACCCCGTCCCATCCCAAATCATTATACTGACCCTTTCCAGGTGCTATATAGGTGTAATGGCTTGGCACTTTCTCCTCATAGTTCCCTTCACTTCCAAGGAAAAATTTACTATGACTATAACCGGACGTCACTAAAAATTTGGGGAGGACGGAAGGGTGCAGTTATGCCCCACGAACTAAAAATGCGGATGTAAGCGTGCAGAAAAAAAATGTATTCTCCCGTCCTGGTTTCCACTTCTAGTTTGGATTAGGCCACACGGAGTATGAGGTGAGGGGTGTGGACCGGGCCACACGGAGTATGAGGTGAGGGGTGTGGACCGGGCCACACGGAGTATGAGGTGAGGGGTGTGGACCGGGCCACACGGAGTATGAGGCGAGGGGTGTGGGCTGGGCCACACGGAGTATGAGGTGAGGGGTGTGGACCGGGCCACACGGAGTATGAGGCGAGGGGTGTGGACCGGGCCACACGGAGTATGAGGCGAGGGGTGTGGGCTGGGCCACATAAAGTATGAGGTGACGCAGTGCACCTGTGTCACCATCAGTGGCGGCGTTGTAGCACCACTCACCACAACACACCTCACAACACACCTCACAACACCGCCACCACCAGTTGGGTGGTTACGGTGTTGTGGTTTTGTATTCCATGACGGGTGAGCTGTCATCTGAATTAGTGCAAACCATATATAAATTATTATAGCTGCTGGGTTGTTACCCTGCGAACATACAATGAAAAGGTCTTTTGTTACCTTGTTTCTAAGTTGTTACATTTTGTTATAAAGTTTTTATGACGTATTAGAAGGTAGTTTCAACTTGTTTGAACGTTGTATCAACGTCATAGTGTTTGGCGTGTAGTGTGATGGAGCAGCTAAGAGAGAGAGCGATATGGGTAGAAAAGTGACAGGTGTAGGGGCTAGTGACGGCGGGGTAGAAATACCCACCAGGAAAAGCAGCGCACAAAAGGAATACACTAAACCACATGGAAAATAATACACTCACTAAGAGCCGTGTGGATGACGAGCAAAGGAATGCCATTATCATAGTAGAAATTAAAGAAAGTGTGGATGAAGCAGTTTTTTTTATTATTATTATTTTCTACCACACATTTACAATGGTAACCAGCATATATACATTTTCTTCTGTCCTCCATGGACAAGGTTAGAGATGTGTTAAACATATAGTTCAAGGGTTTATTGAACAATCAACCACAGAAGGTGATTCGGTGTTTTTAAAATACTAAGCTAACCGACATACGTAAATACATAGATACACAGATTTATGTATACCCTACATAAAGTGTTCGATGTGTCTTTTACATAGTGTCATTAATGTGCAATTACAAAGGTGAAATGTAATTCTGATCAGCTTTCCATATATACTTTATACACATTCATATACATACACACACACACACATATTCCTACATATACATATATACATACATATATATGCACACGCACATGCATTCACATATATTTGTCTCTTTTACTCTGACAGGGTGAGATAGCTGATAGAGAAACTAGTGTTCAATTAAGCACTTAATCACTGAAGGTGATTAAGGGGCTTTAACAAGCTCAGGTTATATAGTTACATCACATACATACATTGTACAATTGATACATTACATGGTAAATTTTGGGTACAAGTCCAATATATCATCAAGTGTTCCAGTACTCATATAGTAATTGCAAAGTTCAGCATACCTTAGCCCAGGAGGGCAAAAGTCAGTCAATATTGGACATTCTACAATATAATGTTCAAGAGAGTGCATGTTTTCTCTTTCACAAAGTTGACAAATTGTATACTCGACATTTGGGTTTTGAGAAAGCTGCCAGATACGTCTATATCCCAGGCGTATTCTGGCCGCTATAACATCACATTGCCGGGTTCTTGTTCTATTAGTCCCATATCTGAATGTCTCCTCACGATATTTAATGCTACAACTTTCCGGTCTTTGTGAATTTGTTAGGTCGATGAGACCTTCATTAGATATTTGTTTAAATATTCTCTTTGTCACTGCTAATGAAACACCCATATCAATTTCTACCACTGGTTTTCTACGGGCTGTTTTTGCAAGCATATCATCATTGGCATGCCTTGAGATGCCAGCATGTGATGGTATCCATAGGAATTTAATTTCAAATCTGTTTTCTTTAGCAGCTAAAACATTCATTAGAATATTACTGACTATTTTCTGGGTGTCACTACTATGTGCGTTCAATGCCAGAAGTGCACTCTGCGAGTCACAGTATACAAGTCTCTTAAAAATTCAGTGGCAAGGTATAAGCCTGCAAGTTCGGTTTGAGTTGTACTTGCCCAGTCATTGACGTGCTTCATTGCTGTATGTACGAGAGAAGATTGTTCAAATATATTACATGCACATCCGGTACATCGTAAACCTTCTTCTACAGAACCGTTGGTATAGCACTGATACACATCGTTACCCATACTCTGATTACTCTCAGTGATGTTTTTCAGTGTTAACTGTTTTAATAATGTAGAGTGCACACTATCTTGGGCGCATTACCAAAATCAACTGATAGATCCCAGATATCCCATGGAGTAATTGGTTGATTAATCATTAATTGAGTTGGGTACATATTTAATATTTTGATGGAGTTGGCTACCTTGTAGAGCCAAAATACATACTCAGATTTCGTTCTTCTTCTATAGATCTCAGGTGAGTGCAGCATATTAGAAAGTTTAGCTTGAAACTTCATGTGTTGTCTAGATCTACTCAATGCCTTCACGCCGAAAACTGTGCTAATAGACAAAATTCTCTCACTTATGGTAGGTAATTTTAACTCTGCTCTCATATTAACTTCTCTTGTGGACTTTGGAGTCCCAAGGATGAGACGCATAGCTTCATTTTGCAAGGTTTCAAGAGATTTCAGCTCTTTGTCTGTATGCAGTGTGAGATGTAGAGCATTGTAGTCAATCACAGAGCGCATAAATGATACATAAAACATTCTAGCAAGTCTCACGTTAATTCCATGATTGACACCAACAAGGACCCGCAAGGGCTTTAATCTCTCCCAGAGTCTCCTCTTGAGAGAAGAAAGGTACCCAGGGTCGTTAATGGGGACACCAAGGTATCTGAAAGACTCGCAGTTCTCAAGTGCTTGCCCATCTATATGATAATTGGCTGGTGGAATACCACACGGAATGAGGGCACAAGTTTTCTGTACAGAGATAAGGAGGCCACATTCCTCAGCTCTAGTAGCAAAAGCATCGAGCAGAACTTGCATTCTAGGCTCGGAGGCGGCAGCCTGTAAACATATATCATCAGCATAACAAATGACAGTGTCTTCATTATTAGTAGGAAGATCTTTAATAAGTTTATGCATCAGAACGTTGAGCAACAAGGGGCTGAGGACCCCTCCTTGTGGAGTTCCCAGTTCAAAGTGTTTGCTCTCTGTGCTTTTAGCACCATTAAACAAAACATATGCTGTTCGATTAGACAAATAGCCCTTTATCTATTTCAGTAATTCCTTGTATTCCCAGCTCGGCAAGCTGTTCCAGTATGATTTCTCTGTTTGCTGTATCAAAAGCTGCTGCTAGGTCGATGAAGACTGCTTGAGGGGAAGCTTCAATATGAGCGAAGTATTCAGCAAAACAGTGTTGTGTACTGAGCCCAGGTATAAATTCAAACAGTTGGGGGGACAGGTACCCCTGTATACGATACATGAGTCGGTTAAGAACAATGCGTTCAAGAACTTTACAAACACACGATGTTAGAGATATGGGTCTATAATTATCTGAGTGTGGTTTG